TATAGACGATGCATGCGCACAGAACTGCACAAAACCACAGTGCCTTACGGCCCTAAAATTTGCTTTTTTCTGCTACTGCACAAATAAGGATGCGGCTATACGCTCGCTCGCTCCACAGCAAATAGTGCGCTGCAAAATTTTCCTTTTCTCATATTGTGTAAATTTTTATCCGTAAAGTAAGATAAAGCGGTTACTGTTGAACGTTTTCGCCTGGAACCAAATTGCGCATTGGAAAGCAGCTTGTTTTAAGCTTGGAAAGAAATCGATTGGCGAAATAACTTTTTTTAGCTAAGTTATTAAATTTTAAAGTTCACCTTTGTCCTAAAATCTAAAAGTTTATAATTTGATTAAAATCTGGCAGATGTAAATATACAGTACATGATATTTTAGTTAGTTTCGGCAACAAATGAAGTATTCTTTATTCAGTAGCAGTGCTTATGTGAAAGATATTAATTCCTTATCTTGACATGTCATACATGCATATAATAATTTTACTTTGTAAACCAGGGGCCAGTTGTATCAAGCCCGTTTAGCTTAAACGGCGGATAAGTCAAAATTAAATAACACTCTTAGATCTCTCTTGAATAAGTCAACTTGAATATTATGCACTGAATATGTAGTTGTAAACAGTGTCTTTGTATTAAGGTTAAAAACATTTAGTTTGCTTGTTGAATAAAACGATAGACCGGCTTTCTATTTTGAACTTAACCACCGTTTAAGCTAAACGGGCTTGATACAACTGGCCCCAGGGTCCAATTGACGGTTGTTCAAAAGCAGATACTTTTGTTCACGAATCTTTTCCGGTTTCATATATAGTTATACTTGCCTTTTCCTTTGTAGTGAAAGGCCCGGTGCATTCGTGCAGTATTATTATAAAGGAGAGCTTAAAGTGACAAACTTAATGCCATTAACGAAATTTCAGAAGTTGAAGGTGGAGAGCGTTTCCGATGAATGTGTGGTGCTTACGTGGGATAACTCACTGGAAGATCTAGAGCTGAATGATATTCAAGACGAAGTTCAATGTTACAGTGGCCAAAAACTTTGTCGGGTCTCGTCGCTATCGGTTAAGGGGGAAAAGAAAGTGAAAATCGTAGGACTAACACATGGCACGGAGTACAAGTTATCTTTGCGTTCACAACATCAGATCTTCTTAAAGGAATTTTTTAGCTCTGTGGATGTAAAAACCGATTATTCACCCAGAAGCTTAATTTGGATGTTAATTTGGTTCCTTGATCTAATAAAGGTATTGAACCAAAAATATTTAAAATTATAGTACTCAGTGGATACCGACAACAAGGAGGAATTTCGTCTTAAACTAATCGCCATTTTGTACTTTTTATCAAAATTTATGCATTCTGATTGGGTTTTTGAAAATGTAAACAAACTTGCTGATTGGTCTAAAACGAAGTCCCCCCTTGTTGAAGCTGACACTATAGTACAATAAGGCAGGAATGATCGAGGTGCACGTGGACACAGGTAATTGATCATGTGGACAGGGTGCTGAATGAATTCTGTAGGATTGTGGATCATGTGAACAGGGATCATCGATCATGTAGGCAGTGTAGTAGAACAGATGTGTGAGGTGTCTGTATATGAGAGGAGACATTTATTCCAGTACATCATTATAGCACATCATTATATGGATTTGATTTTGTAACTTTTTTATTCACGTGCAGTCATACTTTAGCGTACGGATTTTATAATTGATTATACACATAATATTCTTGTATGTTTGCATGGTGACATAAATAAATAAATTATTTATTAATTAAAAAAATAAATAAATTAACTTGTATTAAATACTGCAAAGCTTTCGGCAGTGAAGGCCCAGGATAACGGACCGAAAGCTTTGTATTTTACACTTACGTAATGTACCTAAAAGTTAAATCCATTAAGAATTAAAAAACGAGTCGCGTGCCTTTATGGTGTAATAATGCACGATGGGGGAATGTTGGGAGAATACGAGAGAAGCTTGTAAAGCACGAGGCGTAGCCGAGTGTTTTACAAGCTTCTCGAGTATTCTTCCAACATTTCCCCGAGTGCATTATTACACCATAAAGGCACGCGACGAGCTTTTTTAATTCTTTTATAATATAAGAAGAAATTATAGGGCAACAACAAAATTTATTTATTTGATCAATAATGAAATTCTCCTTACATGTTATTTAAGATGTTGCTTAGCAACAAAAACTTCAAAAGCCAGAAGCGTGCATTATGGCCTCACAATGCACGCGCGGTAGCCAATCAAATTGCTCGTTATATCATACTTATATTATAATTAATTATACACAGGTCTATCAAAACTATAATTTGTGTAAGTAGATACTTATTGACAAATAGCATTTCAGTGCCAATACTATAAATTACTTATATACATATTAATAAAACTTAGATACTAAGATACTGGGATTTGAAAAGGTGCAAGTGTACCAACAAGCATCAATAGCACCTCGTTAAGAAATATTTGGTGTATTTAGGTAGTTTGAGTCCTTCGAATACAATTCCGAATTTTAAAATGTCCAGAAATTTATCAGTCTAAAGAAATTATACATTAAAATATCGTTTCCCTAAAATCCTATATGCATTTCTAGTATACGGGGAGGGGTCTATAGACAGAATGTGCATGGTAATTATATGTTTTTATTGATAACTATTGATTGTATGAACTACCATGGCTTTTGGGGATACAATGTGAAATTTTATAATAAATGTAAAAATAATGTCAGATTTAAAAATAATAATAAAAAGATGCAGAAAATTGTCTCCCTTTATTTTTACCATAATTCAAAAATTGGTGCGCCTTTCAAAATGCTACGAAAACACTTATCACCCTGCTCAGCGTGATTTACTTCCCCTAACGGCCCGAGGTCATATTCTAAGCCTGTAATGCTAAGTATGTTGTAGATCAAAGATTGAATCATTGTACGAATTTCAATACAATCGATATCCCTGGAATATCCGTTGTGTTTTAACCATAATGATGGCGATCATTCATTAGCGATGCTCTTGTATTATCTCAGAGGACTATTACGATCTTCCTTTGCTGTTTGTTTGAAAAATGAAAATTGTCTTCGCAATCGGCCGTTGGTTTTCTTACAGTCAAATGCATAAAATTTCGATGAAATGTCGATTTCACGTAATTCAAGACAACTGTCAGAAAAAAGTACGAATGGTATTTCCCAGCTTGATGTTATAATTTTGTGAACTCTCTGACAACTACAAATTGACTTTATAATTCAAAATTATTCTCCTGGCCTGGAAAGAAAAACACAACGCCTTCAATTGCACCTTGGGAAGTGAAATTGGAAAAAGAATGCGCAAATAAGGCGTATATAGGCCATGAAATACGACGTTCGTTTTCATGCTAAGCTTATCTCTCAACAAGATTGCTTTATAATGTAAACATTTTTTGGCTTCTGTGGATCTTTTTCTTATTTTTCAAGTTCGTCAAAAACCCCAATAAATCTGTTTTTCTTTAAGTCTTTTAATCCTTTTTGAGAAATATGAGATAAAATATCATACCATGCACGTGTTTTACTATTTTTTAGGATTCGACATTTATCAATCGTGTTGAGAGACTTTGTGACACCGTAGTGAAGTTTGTTTCATTTGCAGGATCAGAGAAAGAAACAAATCCAATATATAAAGACTATAACGGTATGCTTTTGTGTTCGTTACAAAAAGTTAGTTGAATGGTAGCATTGCTATGCACAATTCTGCTTTGGATGTTTGTCAAAATATTTAACACTTATTTACCGCGAAAATAATAGAAGATGGATACTGGATAAAATGTTTTTTTTAGACAGGATATTTGAGCTGACGTTCTTTTTTTGTTTTTACCTAGTGCAGGTTTATCTGTAGCCTTTTACCGTTTACCTTTCATGAAAAAAGTCCAATTATGATATTCATCAGCATTTCCGTAAAATAACGGCGCCAAACCGGACTGTTTACTAATTCTTTTGAAATATTAATTGTGTACGTTTATTTCATATTGTTCGTCTTCCAAGACTTAATTGAATAATTCCACAGTGCATGGTCCTGCCACAAACGACTATACCCTCGCACGTTCTACAGGTTCTTTGAATGGTTGTGGAGAGACTCCTTTGAAGAGGTGACGAAATCTTGGTATATCACTGCTATATAGTTATTTAATGTTTTCTTAGACATTCATCTACATTTTATAACGTTGAATAAACGAGCGAGTGATTAAAACTGAAACGGTTCGAACACCATCCTTCAAAGGTTTCAATCCTAGAGAGACGGTGGGATACATATTTGCCCCGAATACATATTAACCCACCCCACAACTTTTTATACCATAATGTTTCTCTTGAAGAGATGTTTCTCTTAAGCCGACATTGAGCTGTCTGTATGTAACGTTATACAAATAACCAACGATCATCGATCATCTGATCGCGATCTTTCTGTCCTCAGTAATAATTCATTCTTGTTCGCAACAAGAGTTACGGCAATCTCGCCTCATTTGTAGAGCTACATATAAAACGTGAAATCCGCAAAATGAAATTTTTCACACAGCTTTATCATAGAGTTCCATCGAATTGTTTCAATTAATGACCATTATAAGAGCTGATTATAAGGAAAGGAAATATTGAAAGGAAAAATATACGTTATAAATATCGACTGCATTTTTCCAAACTTGTATTTCAATATAACAGTAATAATTACTGCATACAATTAATTACTGTATTTTCCATGAAATTATTGCTTAAAAACAATTGTTTTTTATAACTATATAATGGTTACCAGTCAGTATTTATTGTTTTTTACTAATTAAGTGACTTCTAAGGAAAAATGAACTCAAAGATCCCAAGATGCTCCACGATTTCGGATTCCATGTTTCACACCGTCGCTTTTTACTGCTTAGCATGCAGTTAATAAACCGCTTCATATTTCTCGTGAATCCTGAACTGAAAAGGGGTCGAACAGGTTATCTTTTGCTTCCTGCACGAGCGTATATAAATTCAAGTATAAGCACTGAAGATCTGCCATTATTTGCAAATCGGGATCTGGTGATCAAAATTTACCCTTTAGCTTACAAGGTAGGAAGTTGTTAATATGGAATATACCAGCTACTAGATGGCCAGGTAAAATGATATATTGTATTGTTACAATTATACAAAGGTTTCCTCCGTCCTACTTTTTTTACTTAACTGAACCGTATTTACACACTTGCTGTTAAGTTCTGAACTGACTCATAGTCATCGCAAATCTTTTGCTCAAACATATGTCATGCATATAATATTTCAGTGCGAAAAAACTCGAGCTTGACGTACTTAATTGCAATTCACGATGTCTGTGTACTCGTATATAATCAGTTTAACATATGTCATGCATATAATATTTCAGTGCGAAAAAACTCGAGCTTGACGTACTTAATTGCAATTCACGATGTCTGTGTACTCGTATATAATCAGTTTAATTATTAGTCTGTATAATCATTTCGAAATGAAACTTTAAGACAACGTCTTTAAATGATAGATGTTAGCTATCCCTATACTGATTCCACTGTTATTCATAAGAGAGAAAAGCAAGTATATTGTATGATTATATTATTAGGCATCTGCGCCATTTTTCAAAGAAATTGTCTGTATCTTCCAGGAAAACTAAAGCTAAGCGTGAATCACGTGATCCGGAATAAAGCAATTCGCATGATTTGGTCGGCTTTTCTAAGAATATTCGTCACTTTTAGAATATATCATATACAGGGTTGGTAGACGTCATGAATAAATAAGCCAAATATTATTAACATAACATGTTTTCTTTGTTTAATTCTAATAATAAAATTAGGGGCTGTCCCTAACAATGTTTGGCCTATTTATTCAGTAACTTATATACCAACCCTGATCATGTACATGCATTAACTCCCTTAATACATATGTCAGATCTTATGTCTCACCGGCATCAATCAATCATCTGCGAAGGAATGCCAAATACGATTTCATTATTTTCATATGAAATTTTGATGAGGACAATCCATCGTCGGACGCCAAAAAAATACTTTACACATATATACTAATATTTATATACATGGAAAAAATGAATAAAAACCAGGACCAGCCGACAATTTGAAAAAATTATGTAAAAAACAAATTCCAAATAAACAGGACATCTTCAGAGTCAAAATATGAATCAAACAAGACACAGGTTGATACTGAAGATTTTAATACAGTCGTCCCAACCTGTGTCTTGTTTGATTCATATTTTGATTCTCAAAATGTCCTGTTTGTCTTTTACTTAAAAATGAATAAAGTGCATGAATGTGTGTGCGTAATGCATGCATGTCAATGTTTTCTCGTTTACATGACTGGACGAAATGTCCGGGAATACTCGACCTAAACGTAATAACATACAGTAAAGTAAAACATTTTCTCTTCAACCATTGATTCAAAAAGTGGAATTTCTATATTGTGACTGACCACGAGGAGATTACAAAGTGCTGTTATTCGCACTTATGACCGAAACAAGAAGGAACTTCGTCAAATTTATTTACATTTTTCAGGCAAAGCCAATAATGCCTAAAGTCTTCCTTAAATGTCTAAATCAGCTTCAACCTGTTTATATAATAGAACACGGCGATGATGAAAGTCACTTTGACAGTCTTGATTTTTCTTGCTAATTCTATGCTCATCAATGCTGGAACAAACTTCGACGCGGCTTGGTCAAGTGATTGTCCATCAGGTAAGTCGACAAACATCTAGCAACCATTTTTTACCATATCTAATAATACTATAGTTATATTATTACTACTCGAACCGCCTTCAGAGGAGTAAACATCTTGATACACCGTAAAAGTGAAAAGACTTGTTCATTCAAACAGCGCAACGTATTTCCGTTTGTTTACATACGGACTTGACTTCCACTTTAATAATTATGTAAAATTTCCGTAAATTCTATCACACATGCACTGTAGGCCAATCCATCCGGCATATCAGCAGCGTTCATAGCAACTGGCATGAAGATCGTTCATGGACATGGAAATGCAAACATGACTCCATAATAACAAGTTCATGCCGATGGTCTGGGTATGTAAATTCGTTTGACAGAGACCTTCTCTACCAATGCGCAAGTGGAGTTATCGCTGGTAAGTATTACACAAAATGTATTCAAATAAGGAATAAAAATGTCTGACACTGATTTCTTACCTTCAAATGATTTACGCTTATTTAGTATCCTCCAAAATCATACACGTAAACAGCCCCTTGTGAGGGTCAATTCTAAATTTCACTCAACTGAAAAAATAATGAAACACACATTGTATTCAAAAGTTATTTCTAATTAAATCAGGTGTGAAGTCGTATCATAGCAACTGGTATGAAGACAGAAAATTTAATTTCAAATGTTGTAAAACTAAGAGCTACACTCGCGCTTGTTATTGGACTGGCTACGTGAACAGTTGGGATGGTTACTTGAGCTATACTGTTCCATCGTATTATTATCTTGTTGGCGTACAAAGTTACCACAGCAATTTTAGAGAGTAAGTTCGTTGAATACTCTCCTGTATCGCCTGGTATACACCGTGCTTCACCCATAAGCTTACATGACGTACAGTATTAACAATTTTGCTGAACTGACCTTGTTAAACCATGAATATCGTTGTTACAACTTCTTAACATGATTGTCAACAAGCTGAAACTTCCTCGATATAAAGTTCAACAACCATTGTTATATAACAGGGTGGCGGGTGCAGCACTCTGACCTATATTAGATCTATCTCTTGTAATAAATATATAGATCATTGGTGTGCAGCATCACATTGTTCAGTCTTATTTTAAACAACTTGCATTTATCAACATGATGATTTTTACGCGTGTAACTGTGCAAGTGAAAGAAGAATAGGAAGAAAATTTGAGAAAGAAGAAGAGGAAATGTTTGGATGTCTGTTTGCAGTTTAATCGCAAAATGCAATCCTGTGGTGTTTTGTACTTAAAAATCTTGTTTAATTATAAACTTACTGGCGCTTGGAAAAATCCGCTAAATTCGTCGTCTTTCTTTTGTATTTCCTTAGAGACAGGAGATGGAGATTCCTCGTATGTTGATCGAACACGTTGATGAAGACAAAACGCCTATAATCTTTCCTAATTAGCCTGTTCTGCATGATGATTCCTTAGGATTATGTTTATGTCAGTAGTTTGATGTGGTTGTTGCTTTTAAAAAAGTGATGATAAAATTAATAAATGGAATAGGAGAAAATAAAAAATTCTTTGCTTGAAACTCCTATGCTATCCCCAAACAATAAATCATGCACTTGCCAAGTGACATTTGTGATCTCCTCTGAAGCCCCGCGTTGCCGGGAAAATTTGCGGAATTGCGCAGTGTCGTCTGTTTTCAGTTTATGATCATAAATTTTACTTCATGTTTCTTGCTTCTCTGGCCCAGTTGCGTCGCGAGCGTCGACTAAGGGGGAGGGAGAGGGGGTGTGCACGTTTATATTATTCATGTTCATAGACCGTGATAAAAATTAATTTGAAAATAAATAAATAATGTAAAAGACGAGTATAAAAATATGCCCCCGCCACTTATGAGGCCCTCTAGCGTGTTCTTAATAATTATAGTGATACTAAAATACTATAATATTTTATATTTATCATTTTCACCTTGACTGAACTGACGTTGTCTATAATTGTATCTAACGCATTTGAAATATAAATATTAAAGCCCAACATAGTGCTTTCAGTAAAACCATAAGAAACAATTAAACCATTTGAGAATAATAAGAAAATATTTGGTAGTAACGTTTTGTCTTAATTTAAGACATCTTCAGACTAAATGATAAATTACATGATAATTTGAATATGTAGACAAGTAATATATTAATTAATGTTTCAATTGCTTCTCGACTTAGGGATGCATGGAGTAAAAACACACAGGCAAAATTTGTGGGAGAATGGGGTGTAGAGGTGAAGTACTCCGGTGAATTATTTACAAGTTAATTTTCTATTAACAGACGAAAGATGTCCTAGGGGTAATAATCCCCTAGAACTGGCGCTCTATGGGTGATAATCCCCTAGAGTTATGGGGTGATAATCCCCTGGAAGAAGGGGTGATAATCCCCTAGAGAATGGGGTGATAATCTCCAAGAAGTGAAGAAGGGGTGATAATCCCCTAGAAGGCGGGGTGATAATCCCCAAGAAGTAAATAAGGGGTGATAATCCCCCATACGCAGATGACATGATTTAAATAACTATATTTTACATGAAATATAGATTGAGTCTATGGGCCAGAAGGTGACCCTAAGGAGCACTTCAACCCCAACGCCCTGTATTTATTATTTTTCGCTAGTTATTAAAGGTATCTTACAAACATAATATCAATAGTTTTTAGTGTATTTCCTTGTGGGTGCATAATATATATCTGTGAGGGGCACCTTAGCAGTGCTCTCTCTGTTACGTTGTCTCTGCTTTGTGTGTGTGACTGTCCGGTCGTGCATTTCCTTCAATGGAGAACTTAAGACTGACGTTAACTGCAACCAGTATACGGAAAACGGTTTTAGTTATAGGTTTTCAGCGGTTTTGTCTGCGTTTCATGCTTAAAATTTTTAAGGTCAGGAATTTCGTGGCCAACTTTAAGACAGACAAGGAAATAAATCAGAAGTGGTGTACGGATTTTGTTTGCCGTTTTCGGTTAGTTGCAGACGTCTATTTAACTATCTTAAATTGTTGATGACTTCTCGAAGCGGAGGGTGGGTGGGATTTTATTTTCCCTTACTTTATCTTGCTCCTTTCCGAGTTCGTAGTGCTTGGTCTCGACGTTAGCATAGAGTGATAGATTTGCGCGTGCCAAAGGTCTATTATTCTAACCCCTAATAATGCCCGTGATTGGTTGGATTTTTTCGAGGCGATAGCGCGGCGATCTGATTGGTTTTTTGTCGCAAACTTTTCATTCTCTTTCACGTGTGCGATCAATGATGCTCTTACGACCTTTGATCTCCCGGGTGCAGTGTGAGTGAACTTTGAACCCACATGCTGTGTACCCTATTACTTTATTGCCGTTTTATGTACAGAACAATTCCTCAAAGCATTGCCTCATTAACTGGAATTTACATGCGTATGTAAATTACGCTTACAAGGTGATAACAAGGACAAAGTAAGGACAAACGGTGCATGAGAGGACAAGGGACAGAGACGTCAAGAAACGATGACAATACGAAGTAAGGACTAAAATAAATTGAGAGGGATAGAGTTGCCTTGAACATTAAGAGAAGGCTTATAGTTTGGTGATAAGGAGACTCTCATGTATCATTAGCTCATAAGAGTCAGATGAGGAAGAGAGGATTCTAAATTCGTCAAAGCTAGCCGAGTATCCGCAAGCCTTTAAGTGCGAATGTATACTGGACATGACCGGGCTTGAGGTCTGTTTACCAGTGATAGATGATATTCCCAAGTGCTCTGATATTCTGGTGTGTAGATGACGCCTGGTTTGACCCACGTACGACGCGGAATAGCATCGACACAATCCTCTTTCCTCATCTGACTCTTATGGGATATTAATTGGTCAGGCAATTTACGTCGACTTAAGCACATCCGGAGCAGGAAGTGGGAAACTATCGGACGTTTGAAGCGAAACATTGCATAATATTTACATGAACATTTGTATACTTCTGATACAAACTGAGGAAGCTATTTAGTGTCGTGTGCACGAACTTTATTTTTTGTGCCCAGGGGAAAGCAAATTTCTGTCTGCGTTAGATACTGTTGCCAGAGACGTGCCGGGCGGGAAACGTATTCGAAATATAAACTATCCTAAACTATTAACTATTACTTATTACTGTTTGTGGATTTATGGAGCTCTATGGAGTCCGTATAATTATTACACAAGATCAAATGAAACAAACGTGCGGTAATTGTTTTAACGATTTCTCGACGTTTTTCAATCATGCTAAACAGTACAAATTCCAAGAAAAGAATTCTATAATTGCCGTATTTCTGATGTAACAACTTTGTATACTCTGAGGAGGGTACTAGAAGGGGGGGGGACCAAGTCCAATTTCCCTGGTTGAATTTTCGCAAAATTCCATTCCCAGTTGGACTTTTTCAAGAAACCCCAGTCTGAGTTGCATATGTAAAAATGCCAGACTTTAAAAAGGTCAAATTCCATTCCCAGGAACTGAATCCCCCTTTTCCTGCGTAAAAATAGAGCAATCCCAATCTTGTTTAGAAATAACTCGGCAGGTGATTACAAACTGAAAACACCTGAACAATTAAAAGTGATTGTGTTTGCAATTGAAATTTTCCGTTTAGGCATATCGAGTTCAACCTTGACATCATTAGTAAATTCCTTAGTAACTTCATCTGAAGGAAGAGCTGAAACAGGAAGATAATATTTTATTTCGGAACATATAAATATCAAACAAGGACTGAGAAAGTTGATAATTTGGTTTCTTTTAATTTAACCAGGTATGAAGTCTTTGCACAGCGATATGGAAACTGTGTATAACACTGTAAATGTCACACTGTATATGTCAATTGCATGCATGTCGATTATTTAATAACATTGAAGTACGTAGACACAACTATATGTATAAGGTTACAAGATTTTTATACATAGAAATACAGGTAACTGTATACGTTTGCTATATATGTGTTTAGTTAATCAAATAGGACATGATCATGCATGACGCAAGTCAAGTTGGCGGTTTTGGTATTGGTATTTTTTTCACATACAATGAACATCAAAGCTGGTACAAACTTTGATGCGAGGTGGACGCATAGCTGCCCATCAGGTATGTCAACAAACAATAAATCGCTATTACTAGGGTCGACGTACATACCTGATCTCTTGACTTCCCACACTCGCCTATACGCCTGCACCAAATTGTCTGAAACTTTAAATAACTTGTCAAGTTAAACTGCATTTTCGAATTTAGTTGCCTATGTTTTGTGCGCAAATTTTATGTGCTTGCAAAAACACAATTTTTTCGAATGAAGGGCTCGAACTACTTACATGCACACATACCAAAATATTTCTCTGCCGAGGCTGCGTACACCTAGAGGTTGTTAATAATGTGTAAACTTTTTCGGATACACGATGTATAGGTCA